GTTTCAAAACAAAGTAATTTCAAACAAAGAAAAACTGAAAGAAATCATCAGCAGATTTTTACTAAAGAAAACATTAAAGCAAATACTTCTAGTTAGGAAAATAATTTCAGATGGAAGAATGGAGATGAACAAAGGAACCAAGAGGGGGCCAGCCCAGTGGTGTAGTGGTTAAGTCCGGCATGCTTCCCTTTGGAGGCCCAGGTTCACGGGTTCAGATCACAGGCGCAGACTTATACCACTTGTCAAGCCATGCTGTGGCAGTGACCCACATACAAACAGAGGAAGACAGGCACAGATGTTAGCTGAGGGTTGATCTTCCTCAAGCAAAAAAAAGAATAGGAAGATTGACAACAGATGTTAGCTCAGAGCAAATTTTCCTCACCAAAAAGAAAAAAAGGAACAGAGAGCAAAGGAAAAAAAAAGTCTATAAATATAAATGTATATTGGCTGTACAAATACATATTACAAATATATCATATAGAGAATTAATATACACAACAATATAAAAAGAAGGCAGCAGTAAATGGAGTTAAATTACTATATTTGCATTTTTAATAAGTTGCAGTAGTACTAATATATAATATTTTTATAGATCAAGGTTGTGTATTGACATCTTATAGATAAAAACAGAGTAGACTACAAAAAGTAAATAACTAATAAGCTAATGCAGGGGGAAAACAAATAATAAAAATACATAATTTCAAAGGGGCCATAAAAGGAGAAAAAGGGGTAAAAAGGAACATGGAACACCTGAGACAAACAGAAACCAAACAGCGGGAAGCTACCTTGGTTTCCTTCCGAAAATTCCTCCCCAAACATGGGAAGGTATTTAGTAAATGTACTAACAGGTGCATGGTGACAAATTAAAAAGAATATAGTCACTTTATCCTCCAATTAATTTTAAGTAGAAATATAATACATTTAGGTCTAATTCCAGAGACTCTTTAACACCAAATACTTCACTCTGAATCATAATTTTTGCTGACAGCAAATGTAACTTAAAGGATCAAGATATAATGTAAAATAGCTATAAATTTAATCTCACATAATCTACAATTTTGCTTTTATAAATCTAATATATTTGAAACACTGTCTGTGTTAGAATTTAGATCATGGGAATTTTATTGTTGCAATGCGGTATTAACATATGAAGAAATTTAGCTACTGCTTAAGCAGCACTCGGAAATCTCAAGGTATTAGGAAACTTAAATTTAATTGAATCTTTAAAACATAGCAATTAAGCCAACTTCATCACACTCGCTTTAACAGAGACAAATATAGAAAATAAAACAAGCCCTAAGAGACACCTTGAACCGCGAAATGATCCATTTTAACCTCTTGGTCTATTAAGGGAATCTTCTGCAAACCAGTACCATTAGCAAAAAATTAGAGGCAAAGAATTTAGTTAGTAGAGCTAAAGTAGAGTAAGTCTTTCTTTCAATCACACTGACACGTTTTATATTTAATAATAAATTAAACTTCAAATGTGTGTATGTGTATTTATATATACACACACCCAATATTTAATTTTATCCTAATAATTTATCAGGGATATACTATTACCTCTAATGCGTAATCTGAAAATTTAAGATCTGGCCAAGCTACGGCCTGCACAAAATCACAGAATAAACTGGCAGCCGAAAAAGGTTAGGTTTCCCATAGAAGATTGGATTCTTTCCTAATACAGCAATCTATCTGTCCCAGCTGCAATCAGATTATTTCAAACCACAGGGGTCCTGCTCATGACTCTCTCTGCCAGACTTAACAGTCCGCAATTGGTTAAACACTGCGCTGTCTCTCCACAGCCTTCAGAATCCACATTCAACTCTTCTCCCCATAAAAGCGTGACTAAGTCCCATGAAATGAAAAAGTAAGACACAAACAGAAACAATATTCATCTTCCATCACTAAGACCAAACTCTATCAACACCATGTATTAATTCTCATCACTCTGCATTCACTTAAGAAATATTTATCATTGTACTCCAATGTACCAGTCATAGTTTTAGACCCCGAAAAAGTGCTAAGAAGAATGTCATGGTCCCCATAAGCATCAGATGCTTATGGCCTAGAAGGCTAAACATTCATTTATTTGTTCATTCCACAAGTATTTGCTGGCCATCAAAAACTAACCAGACATTCTATTAGCTGCTGAGAACTCTGTGGTGGATTTTTTCGTCGTTTTTATGATGCTTAGAGTCTGGTAGGGAATTAAACATCAAATAATCACAATAAGTATATAATACATATTACATATAATGAACAGTGCACTGTGCAATATATGATAATGAGGGCTGCTTGCCTCGAAAGTCTAGGAAAGAGCTCATGAGAAAGCAACATATGAGTTGAGATCTGAAGGGTGAATAGAAGTCAATTAGCTGAAAATCTTACTAGCAGAAGGGAAAACAAGCAAAGACAGCATTTCAAGAGGAAACATTATTAGAGAACTCAAGGAAGGCCACTGCGCAAGAACAAGAGAGAACAGCTTAAGGTGAGGTTGCAGGGAGATGCAATGAAAAGACCATTTGAAGCTTCAGAGAACACCTTAAAAGGTTTGGTACTCATTCCTAAAAGCAATGATAGAAGGTTGTGAAACGGGGGAATAGCATGATTCCGCCTGAAAGAGAGAACATCTCCCAACTATCTACACAGACGTTGGGTTGAAGAAGGATTGCAATAGTCTAGTTGTCCATATGAGAGAATGTCATTTTGAAATTGGCAGTAGCAGTAAAGTTTGAAAAATGAATTTGAGAGGAATTCAAGAGGGAAAATCACAGGACTTAGTGATAACTTGGATGTGGGGAAGTGGAAATAAGGAGCTCTTGGTTTGTGGCTTGCAGAGCTGAATGAATTATGATGGTGTTCCATGTGATAGAAATATTGGAAAAGATCCGGAGTTATAAGGGGGAGAACATGAATCCAATTTTGGAAATGTTGAGTTTGAATTACTTTTGAGATATCCAAGTGACGGTGTCAAGTGAGCAGCTGAACATCGGGACTGGAGCTTAAGAGAGAGATGGGAACATAAATCTGGAAGACACAGATACACAAATAGTAACTGAAACCGTGAGTGTGGATAAGAAGTGATGAGGAAGCTGAACACTTGCCAGACAGACAGAGGCCACTGAGCCAGTCTGGTTTAGGACTGAGGAAGCCGAGGTAGGGCTTAAAGCAGGAAGGGTGCCATTAAACAGAAGCCAAGGAAGGAGATACGTTTCAGAGTCCACTGTCAGGTGTCAATGCTGCTGTGAGTTCAAATAGGACAAGACATGAAAAATGACAATTTGACAAGATTGGGACTAAAACAGAATTATGCATAAAATGCCATAAGTGCACAGAAATGGGGCATGAACTCTGGAGGAAGAAAAGAGTTGATAAAAGAAGTGATATTTAAGCCGTGTTTGAGGAATGAGTAATTTTCCAGGCTAAGGAGTTGAGGGATAAAAAGGCAGTATTTAGAGAAGGTAGAGGTATTTCTCAGAAAAGAGCAAGAAGTTCTTCATTAGGTTGACAGATGTCCAAAAATCCTATTCCTCGAATTCCTTGATGAGTCATCCAGTCATTTTCAATTACCCTTCTTTCACATCCTAACAGAGCAAAGTAGACATCCTCACGTGGCAGCCCAGCATCTATCATTGTCCCCAAAGCCCACAAAATCAGAACACAGGGGGAGAGAGAAATACAATGTTAACCCCACAACAGAAGTCATATGAAGTCAGGTTTAGGGAATAAAAGTTAAAGATTCCTGATTATATAACAGATTGAATATGAAAGTTAAAAGAAAAGTTGTAATGGCAAGATCAAATTAGAATGTAGGAAAACTAAATAGCAAGACGTGAACATATGAGAAGATAAAGAATAACTTTCCTTCTCTTGCATTGTCAGCAACAGACTTTGAGTCGGATGACCATGACCGTCTTTTAAGCAATAAGGAGCAAAGTGTCTCGTAAAGAATCCACAAATGATGAATTCCAACTTGTAGAACTAAGATTACAGTTTCACATATTCATACCCTCAACTGAGAATACACTAAATGTAAAACTATAGGAAAATGGATATCTAACGTTAGAATAGTTGATTTAAAGCCACATCGTAAAATTATGCTTACCCTCTAAAATATTAGAATTAATACAAGTTATCCTTTTGTTCACAAAATGAATCCGGAATAATCATTTTTGCACCTAGCAAAATTCAAAAAACTAACAGCTAAACCTTCACACTGTCCTTCCATTTTTCCATGTTTTAACACTTACATAATGATTATCACTGTCATTGCTTTGGAGAATTTTAAGCTCTTTTAAGGGAAAAGTACATTTCTTTACATATATGTTTTTCATTTACTTGCCATTTCTGGTTGAGAGTGCATTAAATCGCAAATATGTGGATACCATTAAGTTGCCTATTGTCTTAAAATGGGTTTTCAGGAATCCCAGGGGAATAAATTTTGATCTGAAATCTCTATCTACAATTTATTTTCAAGCTTGTTCCAGTGTGTTGAAGCATAAATACATTAAGGATAATTAACGATATAATGGATAATTTCTTCCTACTATGTTTTCTTAATCTTCTAAGTTGGCTTCCTTCCCTTTCTTGCCTGCCATTCTGACGCATTTGTCGTCTTTGTTACAACAGAACAAGGAGAGAACTAAAAAGAAGGGCGCTATCCTTGGAGGAGAGCCTACAGATACAAATTAAATTATCTAATGCATCTCTTCCAAGGGAAAAACAAAGAAGGCACAGTCTCCTTTAGGCGACCTGCAAACGGCCACAGGTAGGAATTTTGCTGGGTCTGTTCTTTAGAGGCGGGTCTATATGTTCACAGCAGAGAGACGATGGGAAACCTTTTAAGGGGTGAGGCCTAACACGACAGAAATGCTCCAGTAAGGCCCCTGGGGTGCGGAGGCGACATCATAAGGGGAGAGAACACCAGCTGGTTGATGGGGGAGAGGCCGGCTGGCAGTGGGCAAGGGGTGGGGACGCCCTGGGCCGCGAGGTGGTACCTGCGCGGGGTCGAGCGCCCCTGCCACTGAATCCCCGATCCAGAGATGCTCCCGGAGAAGCTGCTGGTAGCTGAGGCAGTGCTTCACCGCGGATGGCACATTCCCCATGGCGGAGCCTGGGGCTGCTGGTGGCGACAGGAGGGAGCCGCAGGACAGGGCTGCGGGGCGCGGGCGGCGAGGAGCAGCGGCTCGGCGCACTGCGGCGGCGCCGCGAGCGAGGGAGGGGAGCGGGCCGCGCCCAGGCCGGTGCGGAGGCACCTGCGGCGGATGCCGCCAGCACCGGGGAGGAGAGGCCCCGCCGAGCCAGAGGACCTTCAGGTGTGGCGCCCTTTGCACACGGCGCTGAGCACGCCGGGCTGATTGCATCTGCACACGCCCCACTTGCCGGCTTCGCCTCTGGTTCAGATGGGATGGAGACAGCAAGGGATCGAAATAAAAGGAAGGGGCCTGCGTTTTTGTGTCGGTGAGTTTGTTCCTTCCCAGCTACATCCTTTTGTGCTCAGTGTAGATTTGTCCCGCGTTGAACTGACTGAGTTTATGCTTGATGACAGTAAACTCGATTTTAAAAGATTTTGAGGCAGTTTGCAAGGTTAAAACATATATACAACAATCTAATAAAGAAGAAAATATAGAAGGTACTAAATTAAGCGAGATGTCACAGATAACTTGGTAGGTCAGTAAGTTGTCAATAAGTCACTGAAATGACGTTGAGTTGCTCAAGAGATGCATGGGCCCAAAATTATGGAAGCCCTAAAAGATTAATTCGTTCCAACTGAAGGTTCTAAACAAATCCTTAGGACGTTAGAATAGGAGCAATCTATGGTGAGGAGGGGGTAGGGAAGATGGTTCTGGAACAGACCACTATCTGCTTCCCCCACTTTCACAAGCACACATGTCGACCCACTCTAAAACTCATGAGAGGGGGTTGGGCAGCCTGCTAGCGAGCCATCATATTCATCAAGAAGAGTCTCGTGCAGCCAAGTGCGCATGGCCAGGAATCCCAGTCAGCCTTACTGGTTGCTGCAGCAAAGATAAATTAAGAGCTCGCTGCTGCACACATAGTTGCACACCAGATGAAAGGATCCAGAGATTACATTGTAAAACAGAGTGTAAACACACTTAAAAGGAGTTTAACACCCAGAATAAACAAACCGTCATTATTGTATGAGGGTGATGAGACTTGTGCTGGTGATAGAAACAAAGCGGTTAAAGATAGAAAAAGGCAAAGAATGGGAGAGGTAGCGTGGATCCTGCAGAGGAACAGCTCTGGGAAGGGCCAAGAGGATGAAGGGATCTTAGACGTCTCACAGCTGTGACCAATGGTGGTTAACTTGGAGAGCATGCTCTGAGCTGCCAAACTGAAGCCGTGCTGTTATTGGGCACCTTTAAAACTCTCTACAGTGCCCAAGTTTCCAATTATTATTTACCTGAACATGACAATTTCACAGGTATATATTCACAGTGCTAAATCTCTATTGTATGTCGTTTTTAGCAGAGCTTGTGTTAATTATTTTTCCACCAGAGTTGAAATGCAACATACAGTTTGCGTCAATGCCCACTACCATTTTTCTCTCTCTGTTGCAATTTTATAACAAGGAACACAATATCTGAAAGAATTTAAAAGGGTCCAATTTGAACAACAGTAATTTAGCAAGGTAACCTTCATAATGGGTTATATGGGTTTGAAGTTCAAAACAGCAAAAAGTTTTGACAATTGACATTGAAGTCTAAACTTTTGGAGAATATGACCTCTAAGATAAGCCAAATATTGTATGATCCTGCTACCAAGAAAAACAACACCTAGACATAAACTTTACTGCTTAACAATTTTCTAAATGGGAAAAGTCTTCAGAAAATTTCATATCCCAATTAGTTCACCATAGTAATATAGTTCTTTTACAGAAAAAATCCTTATAAATATGAAAATATTTTTGACAGTTTTATTTTAATGCATTCCAGATGGAAAATGCTATAATTTCAAAAATTTAAACTATAATTCCTATAAATAACAAAACCATTAGCAATAATAAGGACCAAATATCTTAAGAATGTTTAATCACATGAATTAAAGGGAGTGAAAATAGATGTGCTTTTGCAGAAAGTATGGTTTGATCTTAAATCTAATCATGAATGCTTAAAATTTATAGATTTGCACAGCTTCAAATTATAAATTTGAACGTTTGTTATTAGTATTCATCTCTTTTTGTTTTATGATTAAATGAACGTTCCCAATATGTACCTCTGTTATTGAAAATCTAAAAAGCTCTAGGTGAAATGATAATAAATACAGCAAACTCCTGTCGTAGATAATGAAGCTTTCTCTCCCTAATGTTGAAGGTTAGAAAACCTGGGCTCCATCAGAACAGTAAAAGAATCACTTGTTAAAAATCACAATACTTGTGACATATCCTGATCTGCCCTCTATACGACTCCCCTTCATCATAGGACTAAGCTACCTCTATTTCGTTGCATTTCATATCATTCAAATAGAAGAAGATACAAAAATTCATCGCAAACTAAAAGGAATTAAATTTCTTGTTTTCTCTAGTGAATTTAAGTAACTTTTAAGTTACGTGCAAAAACATTTGAGTTTACCTGTCTCTCCTGAATTGTTCTTGACTCCCTTCTCTCTTTTACCCTCCTACCCCTCCTAATCTGTTAACCAGAGGTGTTAGTTAACATCTTGGACCCATCTCTTGTCTCTGTGTTCCATTGACTTCAGGGGCCACCACGGTGAAGGGAGGGAGAGCTGAAGTGCCCGTCTTACATTACCTGCAGTGGGAGACTGTCTTCACTAGTTACTAACTGAGTGACCTCCAGCAGGTTCTTTAGCCCCTGTTTCCTGATCTGTATGAGCATGATAATAAATGTTCCTACTTGGGGCTGGCCTGGTGGTTGAGTTCGCAAGCTCCACTTCGGTGGCCTGGGTTCACCAGTTCAGATCCTGGGTGCAGACCTAGGCACTGCTCCTCAAGCCATGCTGTGGCAGCATCCCACACAGAAGAACTAGAGGACTTACAACTAGGCTCTACAACTAGGTACTGGGGCTTTAGGGAGAGGAAGAAAAGTTCCTACCTGACAAAGCTGTTACCAAGATTAAATGAGCTAGAATCTATAAAGTGCTCAACATGTGGTTCCTGGCACATAGTAGGCCTCCAATAAATGTTAGCTATTATTACTACAGTAGCCTAGTTTTCTGCTTTATTTTGCATGCACAAATCTACACTGTTAAGCCTGAACAATTTTTTTTTTTTTGGTGAGGAAGATTTGCCCTGAGCTAACATCTGTGCCAATCTTCCTCTTTTTCTGCTTGAGGAAGATTAACCCTGAGCTAACATCTGTACCAATCTTCCTCCACCTTATATGCAGGTCACTGCCCCAGCATAGCTGACAAGTGGTGTATGTCCGCGCCTAGGATCTGAACCTGCAAAACTGGGCCACCAAAGCGGAGCGTGGTGAACTCAACCACTACTCCACGGACCAGTCTCCAGCATGAGCAATTTTTGAAAATCCATATCTAATCAACACTTCTAAGCTTAAAATTCACAGAGATTTCCCATCACCTTTACAGAGAAGCTATTTCTTAAAATGACAAGGTCAATTTTTCTTGATGAGACTCTTAATTACCTTTCCAGTCTCAACTCCTGTCCATTTTCTAAACTCATCCTTAACTCCAGAAATATCAAATTATTTGTAATTCCCAAAGTTTTAGGGCTCTCCGTCATTCCAATTTTGTTCCTTATAGACATTTTGGGAAATACAGAAGATGTGTACAGTTATCAATGAAATTACCCATCAAAGTAATCCTAGAAATATTTTAATATATTTTCTTTCAAGGAGAAAATAAATTAACGTTTTCCTGTCTCTGCTTTTTATTCTGCCCTTTTCATTTGACATTGATTTGAATTCTTTGAAACTATGATGCTAATGGCTATGTAATATTCATATATACATGTATAATCAAAATCATTTTTCCATAATCTTCTAAGGTATAGCCTTTTAATTGTTGTTGAAAGGGAGATGGTAAGCTGGAATATGAATATGTGAATGTTTGTGTAAATAGTTATTTAATTAATCTTCCGAAAATAGCATGCAGTGGAAATCTTCCACTGTAGTTGTGTTTCCGTCAATTTCTATTTTCTTTTTAATGAAGTTTTGCTTCATATACACAGTATTTCCTAGTAAGGTTTATAATTTGCTTGTTTAAACTTATCTTTGGTGAAGGTATTTTGTGTGTTTCCTATGGGGATCTTGTATGGGTTATTGGAATACCCCTAAAGGCTGGTTTCACTTTTGCTTGGCCGGGATTTCTAATGAGTTTGGTTTGACAGCTCTAGGATTTATTTTTTTGTTAGCATCTTAGCTTGGGGTACCACAGGGATATTATGAATCTGGAACTTGAAACCATGCACAATGGAACTTGGCTTCAGTTTTCTTGCAGGGGTTTAAGGTCTCACCTGCAGAATCCGGTGACCTTTTTCCATTTCGCATGTGTGGAACCGCCTTTGGAGACCCAGTGGTTCAGGATCTTGGCTCGCTGAGCTCCCTCTCCTCAGATGGCTATTGGTTTAGATGTTCCTTCCCATGAGATTGAAGGCCCAGGCTCTGGCTGTCCAGCCCTGTACCTTCTTGTGAGCTTCTTGTCAGTATTGAGCCCCTAGTTATGTCCTTCAGTGTTTGAGGGGAGGGAGAAGCATCTCTCACATCAGCTTAGTCCTCCCTATTTATTAGAATCCTAACTTGAACTTTTTTCTATGATCATTGTGTTTGCACATATTTTTCAATACATTCTGGAGTTCCTCTCTCCTCTAGGAAGGGAAAGGTAGGAACCCAGAGATGCTGAACTGAACTAAGAACATGACATTTCACTCGGAGAGCCTGAGAATCTTACTACAGTTCTGATAGCTTGATGAATCCACAAAGACGGAAACCCCATACTCTCTATACCTGTTCCCATCCTTCTCTCTATCTCCTCTCCGTGGAAAACGACAAGAATGAATTACAGACTTGTGCATCGCCCATATCCTAAACAAAGCCTCTCAGAAACAAAATGGGGAGGGCTTTATACTCCGGAGACTGGTCAAGCCAAAACTAGTAGATGACCATATCAATTCTCTCAAGTGGCAAGTCCTTGAGGAAGAAAGGTGTAGGTGAAACAGGTTATCTTATGAGTCCCTCTGCTCCCAAAGATGCCTATTTCAGGTCTGTGTGATGACAGCATGGATAGAATCAGAAGCAAGGGAAAAAATCAAAATTTTAGTAGTGGTAAGTGCCAAAGTGGCATGTAGCCAAGGTACCTACTGGGCAGGGATCAAAGGCACATATGGTAAGTCGCAAAGTGATGCCATAGAACTTTGGCAAGTATCACAGCAGTAATGTGCTCCAGCCTTAAACAATAAAAAAGAAAGAATGAAAACAACTTGGTTATCGGTACTGGATGATACCTAAGGGGAAGCAAAGCTTTCATCATCTTGGTTTTATTGCTAAAAAATTTAGATAACTTCTCACACATGTTATATCTGGCTGATCTAAATTGATGGGAAGGATCACAGAGCATTTAAAAACATTCTTGGCATTTGGTCACTAAAATCAAAGTTCCATTAACAATACCATTGCTCTGAAATAGAGCATTCTTTTGAGAATAAGTAATGAGATCTATTTTACCAAAATAACTCCCCACCCCAGGTGATGGATACCTGGCACTCGATACAGAAATCAGAACAAAGCTGCAAACCATATTTCTCCAGATGTAGGAGTCTATTTATTCTTTCACTAATTCAGAAGGATCCAAAAGCATTAGCTTTGCCAACTGTATTGTAAAATGAAAGATACAGACATTGATTGTTCATTAACTATTATTAGTTTATTAGATGGCCACGGTGCACGTATTTTTTTGCCAATAGATATAAAAATATCTTTTCATTCCATTACTTACAAACTCAGACTCTACTTGGAAAATACTTTTATCAATCAGTTGATATATTTTGATGGGTTATAGTAAAGTGAGCTTAACAGGTAAGCTATATTAGCTCTTACTCATGGACAATGTCATTCTTTGAATCTTTCAATCTGTATCAAGTAGTATTGAACAAGACAACATGTCAATATCAATTACAAGGACAGAGCACTTGATATTTTTCTTTGCACACAGTAGGTACTCAATAAAGCTTAGCTTTCTTTTTCCTCTTTTCAAATTAAATCAGTCCACTGTTAAGAATGTATATGTGACATTGTTCCAGTTCAAGGAAATCTGTAAAACCCCAATTTAATTAATGACTTCTATAGAACTTTAACTCACGAAAGAGATTTTTGGGTTTTTTATTTGGTAATAGCTAATGGGAAAAAAATATGAACAAATATGTAAGATATGCTTTCTTGACTTTGAAGATCTCACATTGTAGCAGCAACATCTGAAGAAAACTACCTAATTATAAATATTAGATGTAGCAGATGCGTTCTAATCAGAGGACTGTAAGAAATTAAATTCCGATGTTGTAGAATCTGGATTTAAAAAAATTATTTATAGAAGAATTTGCATGTTCATCAAATGTTTATTGAGTAATTAATCACATAATAAAATAGTGCTCTATACTACTATGTGGGGAGTAATGATAAGCAAGGCAGTTTTCAACACAAAAATCTTCTAATTTAGTAGTGAAATATGATGCTGCTCAAATATCTGCAACAGAGCAGCATGTTGCCAAGTACCAAGTAATAGTACTGGTTGAGAACTGTAGAAGCAAGAGAGTCTATTGACTCGGCGTTCAGTTGGGAAAATGAGGGAAGACGTCCTGAAGGAGGCCCCGTGTGAGTTAGGCAGACGGTGCCTATCAGGATGAAGGGCAGGGGCTGGGGAGGGGAGAGAAAGATCTGCTGATAACAGGCTGCATTACTGCCAAGAACTATCAAGACATGGAAATAACTTTCAAAGGAAAATCTTCATAAAAGCACCGGATTTAATGATATTTTTATATCCATGATTATTTCACTGTGGATATCATAGGTAAAATGGTCATTTTCAATTTTGCCACAGATGAAGGTAAACACATAAATCCACCAGAGGTGCTAAAGAAATTGATTTTAAAGTATTTATTTTGCAAGTCAGGCTTTTATATACAGCTTTAGATTTTTTTTTTTTTTGGTTAAAATTCACTGCCAATCCTCCTCCTTTTTTATGAGGATGATCGGCCCTGAGCTAACATCCGTGCCCATCTTCCTCTATTTTACATGTGGGACACCTGCCAAGCATGGCTTGATAAGCAGTGCATAGATCCATGCCTGGGATCAGAACCAGCAAACTCTGGGCTGCAGAAGCAGAGCACGTCAACTTAACCACCGGGCCAGCCCCCATATACAGCATTAGATTTTTTTAGAGGGTGTTATGCCTGTTCTCCATGGCCAGGGGAGGAAAGATCATATATTTAAGTGACTAGACCTATGGAGCACTCTGCTGGGTATCTTAACTGTGTGCGTTGTTGCTATTTAACAGGTGAAGGAACTGAAGCTCACAGACCATGGAGAACTGTGCCAAAGTAAAAAGGAAGTGTAAGAGGTGGACTCAAACTTGTGTCTGTCAAAGCCTTTGCTCTTTATTTTTCATTTCATGACTTTCAAGAATAGATAATAAAAAGACACTGTTGACACATCCGGTCATTTGTTCCTCATACCATCTTTTAGAAAAGGAAACCCTTGCTCAGAGAGGTTCAAATGTTTCCAGAGAAGGTTCTTAAGAGCTAAGAGTTGAACTCAGTCTTCTGACTCTGCATTCCATGAGATTTACACAATATATGGAGGAATATATATGAAAGAGACTTGTCCTAAATATGAAACCCAAGGACCTTTTCAGGTTTGATGACATTAAAAGTAGCATTCATGGGAACAACATAAAGTTAAAGAACTCTCTTAATAACTTCAGTAGTTGTGTGTGCTCTGTCTTA